ATCAAGGTAGGATCAGAAGACGATTTTCATAGCTCATGGGTTACTATCACATACCACAGTCAGCCCAAGCTTATCCTAAAGAATAAAAAGGATGCACCTGCTTTGGTGGCGGGTATTACAAGATAATTAGGTATATCTCCTAAGTTTATAATGTAAATTGGCCACCGTAAAAACTTGAGTTTTGCTGGATATCTTCATTTAATATCTTTCTTAATAGTAAATATGTTTTCGCTCTGAAGAAAAAGATTTTAAGCGAATTAACCTTTCGACAAGTGACAATCTGTTCCTGCCTGGGAAAATATTTCAACGAGGCTTGCGTTGTCCCAGATAAGAAGTTGAAGTTTCACAAGGAATTTTCGAGTTTCTTTATGGCTTCGTTGCACGTAATAACAAAAAGCATAGCCTAGACAGAGAGCGAAACTCTTTCCAAACTGCACTTCAAATTTGAGTTCGAACACCCTCATTTTATTTGATGTATTTTCTCTACTGGCTTTATCACTTTTCTTTTAGGTAATAGGAGACAAAAAAGGGGGACGAACTTCGCTGCTTATAAGCCGAGACCCAAGCAGTATCAAGCAGTTAGAAGAAATCGCTAAAAACGTAGGAGTGCCAATGAAATTCATACACATTGTCAGGAACCCATTTGATAACATCGCTACCATGGTACTTCGCGGTGCAGGCGAGCGTGATAATGTTAGGGAAGAAGGAGCAAAAGTAAGTTCATAAATCATATTTGAAAAGATATCAAATAACATTCTCATTATCACGGTAACATCATTGTCATTATTATATATACACAGGAGTCCATTACTTCTGATATACATTAGAATTTTTACGAGAAATATGATTGGTTGAGACTATTTAAATGATATACAACAGCGTGTGAAGTGAGTATGATAACCCAATATCGGCAGCGGATATTGTAGTTATCATGGGGAGTTAAAAAACCTACCTAGTTTCCAAGTCCCTCGACCATGTGGGGTTCTCAAACTTTTGCAAACTCAGAGAGAAGTGTTTTCTTTGATACATTGTTCAGAAAATGCATAATAAGACAGTTAGTGAATTGGGTTTTCGTATGATGTCATGAATTATCAAACCTTGTGTCTGCGTTTTCTGCCTCTGCATTTTCGTTATTGTTATCACAATCATAATCAATGTCGTTATCGTTATCATTTTTTTCTATTTGTCACTAAAAGATGAACGGATCAGTGATTTTGGAGGATTGGATCGAGCTCTACTTCAACCTTACAAAGGCTAGCCAGCGCGTCAGAGAAAGGTTTGGGGATGCAGTTATCGATATTCCAGGACATGAAACAATACTCAGACCGAAAGAAACACTACAAAAATTATGTGACCATTTAGGTGTGACATGTTCAGAGGAATACATAGAAAAATGCAGTAAGATCTTGTATGGAGCTCCTTCCGTCACAAGAAATAAAATTGTTTGGACTGAAGAACAAAAACAGCGGGTCACCGAGCAGATGAAAAAATATCCGTTTCTGAAAGACTTTTCCTTTGACGATTTCCTATCTTAAATTCACAGGTAGCAGCCGCTGGAACGATTTTCAATTTTGCGTTTAAAATGAGGTTTCATCGGGTTTGCATTTCTACCTTCCCTTTAGAAGGGAATCAAAGGCACTCGAGGGTTTCCCAGTCCTCCCATCCTCTCCCATTGCTGCTTAAGCCTTAATCCAAAAGTTAGTTGCAAAACTTTTCTCTTTCATGTTGCCTTTGGCCGGCATTTTGCTTTGCTAAAAAAAAGTGTACTTTGTGATAATTATGTAAAAAAAATTAACTTGTGGAAAGAACAGTTCAAAATCCAATAAAGTTGTTTTTAAAGGCATGTCCGCGACAGTATTATGAGTTTAGTAGATATGCTACTATTATCAAATTTCTATTGTTTGATTACCGGTTTCATGTTGCATCAGTAAACGTTTCAACTTTATTTTCAAAAAATGTCAATGAGGAAAGAGGTAGTTTTCGTTAGAAAGAAATCCTGACGAAAGTGATACATTGGACTTCTCTGTTCAGTGGATAAAGGGGTCAGAAAAGTGAAAAATACAGGGAGCAGACGGCAGAGAAACTAGGCACGAACATTTTGATGAAACCTCTTAAATGCTGTAGATCGTAGATTATGAGATCCAACAAATAACGAAAGTAGACATTTGTCACCTAATTAAGCAATAAAGAAGTCAATTAAACCAAACACACATGGTATCACCTTTTATTTCTCTGACAGGAGTAGGTAACACTTATGTGGTTCTGAGAGTAAATCAATTTGGTTTCACGTAAGCAGTGGCTCAACTCATTTAAATATCTGCAACAACTGCTGTTTCTGGAAACCTTCAGATATGTCAATTCTTATTGATTGTGTCTTGCACCCAGTA